GTCCCCTTATTTTGGGCAACTACCAAATGTGACTTGATGACACTTTCATCCTTGAGGCCAGCCAAGCCAGCCGTGTTGCGCAACACAATCCTGGCATGAGCGCTGCTTTCTTCCAGATATATTGGGATAATGGAAAATCAAATGGAAACTACAGGAATTGGGTTTAGGGTTTAGGGTTTAGGGGGATATATTGGGATAATGGAAAATAAAATAGAAACTACAGGAATTATAGGTTTTTAATACTATAATGGAGAATTAAATGGAAAATAACATGGAAAATGAAATGGAAACTGGGATATATAGGGGATTATAGGGTTTAGGGTTTCCCAAAATTAGCGTTACCATTTTGGGGGTCCCCAGAATAAGGACTATAGTATTTTGGGGTCTATATTGGGGTCCCCCCATTTACGGAAACTCCTAGACTTCCAGGAGGGCTTTGGGTTGACGTGTCTGATGAGGAGCGCCGGCGTTCAGTCGGCTGGTTCTGCATGCCCCATCTGCAAGGCAGGTGTCACCTGCATTGAATGGCCAGAACTTGGATGGTTCGTCCTTGAGGCTTCTGTCACCATCCAGAACGTTATTCCCGTGTATACGCGTGGAAACCAAACTGATCCTCGCAACTCGTGCCTTGCCGTTTACTGGGATGCTGGGATGTGCTGTTGTCAGCGTTTTGCACATTGCCTGTACAAGCCCCATATACCCCCTATATAATTTCTATTCACACAACCCTACATAAGCATCATAAGCTTATGTGACCCTAACTAAATATGTAATGCCCATATACCCATATAGAATCCTTCAATGTACCCCTACATGACCCTAAACCCTAAACCCTAAACCTTAAAATTGGTAGCTTTAACAGGTATCCTAATCTGCCCGCGCGACCGCCTGGAGAACGTCCAGAGCCGGAGCCAGCATCGGTGCAGTCCTTTATCATTGGGTTTAGGGTTTAGGGCTTGGGGTTTAGGGATGATTCCTTGCATGCTTTGTAGAGTTTTATTGCTGAAGGTGCTGGCGCTACAGGCATTCCAGCATGGCGGAACTCCAGAGTCGGCATCTCTGTTTCAGTCGGGCATTATTAGATGTGGGATTGCAGACTCCAAGTTTTCTCCAGGCTTGGATTGGGTCGTGGAATGGGCTTCAATGTACTGTTCAAATCTGTCCGTGTGCAGCAAACTGCAGCAACCCTCGAGATGCTGTAAGGTCTTATGGTTTCACCGCTGGGCAGGGATTCTATCCTGCCAGGACCCCTGCATTTTGTGCAGTCACAGCTTATGAAAGTTCAAGTAGGTGGTTGTCAAAATTATGGCCCCTTCTTTGGGTACCCTAACTATTAGGTGCCGTATTATAATAGGGATCCAAAAAGGGACCGTAATTTTGGCAACCATCCATATAACCCCATTACATACCCTATTGTAGCTGCCATTTTCTTTTCCATTCCCCTATATAACCCCAATACATTATGTATAGTAGTTTCCATTTTGTTTTCCATTATCCCAATATAACCCCAATATAACCCTAATATATACCCTATTATAGTAGTTTCCATTTTTCCATTATCCCAATATAACGACAACCACCCAAAAGAAGAACAGATACCGCAATTCGTCATCCCAGCTCTTTCGAGGTCATTTTTGGCTTAAATTGGCAAGGAGCATCCCTTCTTGAAGCGCGAGGATCCCAGGTTTTATAAGGGTACTACTAAGGAAATATAGGGGTTATATACGTATAGTGGAAAAGAAGACGGAAACTACTATGTAGTATAGTGGGGTTATGTAGGGATAATGGACAAGAAAATGGGAGCTGCTATTTAGGAGCCAAGTTAGAGACAGCCTGACAAGGGTCCATGTCGTTCTCACACCCTAAACCTTGGGTACTGCCCCCCCTCACTAACAGTTGGATAATAATCAAAATATGGATATATACAGCCCTTAATAAGACCCCTAGTGTCGACTTTTACTTGGGGGGGTCAGTACCCAACCTAAAGCCTATACCCTAAACGCCGAGGCCATCCTCGTCCAAAAGCTTCTCCTACTCCTTGATAGGCGCTTTGGGCCATGTGACTGGTATGCTGTCATGCCCACCCTACAAGCCCACCCTAAACCTTATAAACCCTAAACCCTACCTACATTTTATGTTCCATCATCCCAATATAAACCCAAAACAACTCCAATATAACCGCAAAAACAACCCAAGTTCCCCCCAAAACAACTCCAATATGACCCCAATATAAGAAAACGCTGCAAGCCTGAAGGCCTTTCCTTGCTGTACTTCATGGTCCTTTGGATGCTGTGACGGGTGTGCAGAATCACAGCCCAAAGAGGCCGCCGCTTGCACGCCGAAGAAAAGCCCTAAACCATGGTCTTGAATCCTGGTTATCAGGGTTTAGGGTTTAGGGTTTAGGATTTAGGGTTTAGGGTTTAGGGTTGAATCCTGGTTATCAGGGGGGATTGGGGATTTCATGATTAGGCAGAGCCCCAAAGCCTAAACGCCAAACCGTGAGTTAGCCGCTACCCCACTAATAGTGGTGTAGTATAGCGTGTAGGAATTTTGCAGGGACATCTGTATAGTTACCACTATCCCTCGTGTTCGGTATTAGTGGGTGGCGGCCTAACCCGAATCAATTGTGTTACTTCTTGGCATCTACTAAACCCTAAACCCTAAACCCAATTTTGGTCTAAATCCTAGACCTTCGTGCCGGTAGCCTTTCCGCGTGGTCAGCTTCTGGCATTAGCGGCTTGAAGCTTACAGCCACTTTGAGATATGTGGTTATGTGGGGTGAGGGGTGGGGCTAATGTGTTTATGTAGGGTTAAATAATAATATGAGCTATAGTCTAAACTCCTTAAAGGGGGGTTATATAGGGGATTTTCTAGGGGACTACTATAAGGGTATATTAAGGGGGATACTAGGAGTTTAGACTACAGCTCATATATAGGTAGTCCATTTGAGGCTGCGCAGCCCTTGCAAGCCTAAGGCTTCTAAGACCCCACACGAGAAGTATTCGATTTGGGATACCATGGTCCCCCAATATAGAGGAAGATCATATTCTCTTTCCGGGTATAGCATCATTTGGAGGAATATACTCTTTTTT